GACTGCCTTCGGCTCAGGTCATGATCCTGGAGTCCCGGGATCGAGTCCCGCATCGGGCTCCCTGCTCGGCGAGGAGTCTGCTTCTCCCTCTGACCTCCCCCCTCTTATGTGCTCTCTCTCATTCTCTCTCTCAAAAAAATAAATAAAATCTTAAAAAAAAAAAAAAAGAATGTTTACACCGACTTAAATATTTTTAAATCCTGTTAGTGCGTGGTGTGTGCCCCCGAGGATAGGCCCTCTCTTCTCGCAGAAGCCCTTTCGAGACCGTAAGCCCTTTGACGGGCCTGGACATGTGGCTCACAGCACGCTCCCTTCCTAAAGCGGTCTCGCTGGGATGCAGCTGAGAGGAGCTGCCCAGCCTCACGCTGGGTGCTGCCCCGATACGCTCATTTCAGTGCTGTGTAGGAGCTCGGGCACATGATTCTCCAGCAGACCCACCGCAGGGGGCCCTGGGGGTCCCGAGGGGCAGGGCTGCAGACCCCTGGAGGGGTGCCCCCTCTCTGGCACATCAGGGGGCTCTCAGGAGTTTCTCCCTTCTTTGATGCGTTTGGTCCAGAGTAAATCCCTTACCCCCACAACCGCCCCCACGAAACCCCTTTCCCTGGGTAGTTTGGGTACGCACGGAACACCTGTGTCCAGTGCTATACTGTTCCCGAGGTTGTTCACTGTTTCTGTGGCCTAGGTGTGGCCACAGTGGGCTTCCCTGCGTTTCACCCCCAAATCACGGGTGCTCGCTCAGTGACCAACAGAGCTGGGCGACTCAGACTTGCCACCAGAGCAGAGCCTGCTCTTTGGCTCCACGTGTCTGACCTCTGGCCGGGACACACCTTCCCCAGGCAGGCAGACCCAGAAGTGCCCAGAGGGGCTGAGCCATGCACACTCCATCTCTTCTCAGACCCTCACCCCGAGCACAGGCTTTGCAGAAGCCCCCGATTGCACCAGTCTGATTGAGCCCTACCTCTTCCCGGGGCGGGGACTCCACAGGGAGGGCGGGGCTGCCAGGTGCATCCTTGAGCTCACCCTTACCGAGTCAGCAGAGGACCTGAATTCAAAATACCCGCTTCAGAATCCATATCAAAGTTGGTAAGAGAGTATCTTTTTCTTTATTGGGCTAAAATTGGTTCTTTTGTGCTAATTAGCTTAAAAAAATGTCATCCTAGAAATTTGGGAAATACAAAAATCTATAAAGAAGAAAAAGATGTTAAGTCACATAAAATTCCACCACTTTTAATATTGTGGTGTGCTATCTTCTAGGCTTTTTTCTATCTTTAGGCGTGAAGATTACATGATAAAAATATGGTTTACATCTGCTTTTTGTATTGTCTTTTCCTTATATTTTTTATATTACATTTAAGCATTCCTACCATTATTAAGACTGTAAAGTTAACTTTTCAAAAGCTAGTGATAAAGGATAAAAGTCTTTCCCTAATATTTCAACGTGTGTATTTTTTTTTAAAGATTTCATTTATTTTTTTATTTGAGAGAGAGAGAGCATGGGCAGGGGGAGGAGCCGAGGTAGGGGGAAAGAATCTCAAGCAGACCCCACGCTGAGCATGGAGCCAGACTCAGGGCTCCATCTTATGACCCTGAGATTGTGACCTGAGCCAAAACCAAGAGTCAGATACTCAACCAACTGAGCCACCCAGGCACCCCACAACATACGTATTTTTAAAAGTCTCTGATCTATGAATATTTTCCTAAAGCCTGAAATTTTACTGTGCCTTCTTGCTTGGGTTACACATAATTACACATAATGAAATAGGCACTTAGATAACAGACACTGAGGTTAACAACCCTCCTACCAGCTTTTCTAGTTTAGAGAAGGAAGGTACCAAGTGAAATTAGAGATTAATTTCAGAAATGTGCATGTCACACTTCTTGGGCTCTGTTAATAAAAAGCCAAGTTAGCTGTTCTAGATTTAATAGTGGTCCTTTACAGAAAGTCCAGCATATCCTTCGTCTGATGTTACGCTTATGTAGAAGTCTGATAAGCTGTGATTTATTCTTGGCCTGAGCCTTGCGTGCAGACTGTTGACACGCTTATCCCTGACTGTGGGGTTGGTGGCTGGGAGAGACTGGTTTTCTCCCCCTGGCCACCACCCCAACCAATTTTGGGTCCTGGGGAACAGCTCCTCCCGGACCTCTGGTGCCAAGCAGGTCCCTCCTGCACCCTGTGCCCTCGAGGGTGGGGCCGCCAGTCTGTGTTGGCATCACGGGGTCACAGGCTGCGCTGTTCCGTTGCAGGCATATGGTGCTTCTGAAGGAGCAGTATGGGAAGCAAGTGGTCGTAAACCTGCTAGGGAGCAGAGGCGGAGAGGAGGTGCTCAACAGAGCCTTCAAGGTAAAGGCCGTGCTGCTTCTCGGCCCCGGGAGGCGGTGGGTGAGGGACACGAGGGCCCCGTGCGGAGGCACGCTTCCATGCAGGACTGGGAACAGCGCTGCTCTTACCACACTTGGGGAGTTCTTTCCCACCGGCTCTGTCGTGTTAGGTGATTTGGGCTTCTGATATATGAAATTTAATTTTTATGAACTGATGGTTAGAGAATTTGCTCAAACAAAGCATCTCCCACCTCCAGCTGCATTTCCTCTGGGGCTCCCCCTGGGGCTTGGAGGGCTGGGGAGAGCCAGGCCTTTCTCCCTGGTTCTCTTGGACACACACACACGCACACGCACACACACGTGGGCTGCGCCCCGCATTCCCTGACTGCTCAGGGAGCCCGAGCTCCACTTCCTTCCTTGGTCTGGCTCTGCTGCTGGCCAGAGCCTCCTGGCACTCACCCGAACACCTGCAGGGCACTGGGCCTGGAGCAGTTGTTCAGAACTCCTGCTCAGTTTAAAGCAAGGAGTCTTAATTTCCTCCCGCTAACTTCAACCTTCAAATCTTCCATCCCTGTCTGGGCTCTCCCTGAAAGCAGCTTCCTTTGCCCGGCTCCCCATGGGCTCCCTGAGGCCCCTCTGGGCAGCTTCAGGGGTGGGGGGTGTAGGGGGATGGGGGCCTGAGCAGGGAAGGAACCAATTGAAGGAATAGCTCCACCTACCTCGCCGAGGCCTCTCCCTGTTCCCAGAGCTCCCGAGTGTATTCAGTCTGCAAGGTGAAAAGCTCTAGAATGAGCTGTGGGCGACGTCCACGTTCCTTTCCCAGTGGCCCGTGTCCCCCACTTAACAGAGAAAAGTCCTCTGGCTATTCCAAGATCCAGGAAGCCCCTTCTGGGGGGAGTGAAATCGGACCTCAGCTCATGGGAAGCAGCGTTTGCTGCCTCTCTGACTCCTGACCTCTGGCCAGTAGGAGCTGAGCCCAGTGGGTGCTCCTTCCACTCAGCTCAGAAAGGCCATGTGCTCAGAGCAGACTTTTTGGTGGCCAGTTTCATTTGGACAGACCTGCTCGTCCTGTTTGGTTTGTTGCTGTTGGCAATAAGTTTGCTGAGTATCTCCCCTCCCAATCATCTTGGCAGCAATGCTGATGGCTTATTTTAAGGAAAAAGAAGGAAAGAAACAGAATCTCTTTTCCCTTTATGTCTTGAGTTATGGAGAGGGGATGTCCTCAGCACCCCATCCGTCAGCGGAGGTGCCCCCTGCTGACGGGCTCTTTGTCATGAGTGGGCCAGGAGGCAGCAGTGATCCCGTGGCCCAGGTGGAGGAGGGCAGGCTGCTGGGCAGGGAGGAGGGAGGAGGTAGATGCCGCCTGGAGGAGACCTCCTGGTGTCACACCGAGCGGTGGCTCCCTCAGCCCTGAGGTCCGTGCGCCAGCCACCGACCTGAGGTCCTCAGGCCACAACCCAGCAAGGGGCTCACTCCAAAATGTGACGTCGCGAAGGAGTACACTACTCAGTTCCGTGGACTTCTTTTTCCTAGCAAGACTCTCCGGATGGTCACAACCATGCGCTGACTGGCATTCTGGCTCACAGCGGATGGGCACTTTGAGTTGCAGGGACCAGAAGGCCCAAAGCCCTTCCAGTCTTTCAAGGTCATTAGAGACTCTGGACAAGTCTAACCTGAAGCTACGCAGGAGGGTGCAGGGTGGGACAGGCCTGAGGCCGGGGGCCCTGAGGAGGCCGCCGGTTCACCTTCTACCACAGGGCTCTTGAGAGAGCTCAGGAGTTGCCCGAGAGGTTCCTCGTGTGGGACGGAGGCCTCTGTGAGGAACACCACGCTGCCTGGAGCCCACCTGCTGTGCGTTCCCGGCTCTGGCCTCGCCTCCCCTCCAGGTCCTGCGCCAGCCTGGGCCCACGGGCCCCGAGCACGCGTTACCCCATCCCGCAGTCTCACTGGGCTGGACCCAGAGGACGCTGATGGGAGAATTGGGCACCAGCGAGCACACCCGCCTGAGGCTTACACTTGTCAGGATGGGGCTGGTTACCACGGCAACAGGGAGCTGGATTATGAGCTCCACAGCCTGCTGGGCTGCCCTGTCCCTGGCGGGCCGGTGGCCCCTGGGTGCTGGCAGAACAGAGTGGTCCTTGCCTCCTCGGTGCCCTCCCAGGAGCCCCGCGGGAGGGTGATGTCGGTTCGGGGCTGTGAGCCAGGGAGCCAGAGCTGCTCCGGCTGTCTTTCGCCCGGGCTGGACCTGCCCCACTGCAGGCAAGATGCTCTTTGCAGTATTGCCCTCCGAGTCTTTGTTCTTCCGTTTCAGGGTCAGCACGGATAGACAGCTCGGCCCCCCACATTCCTTCAGGCTAAAGCGTGTGCCCTAGCGAGCGCCCCGGTTAGCCTCCCCACCCCCAGCCGTGAGAGGTTTGCGGTCACTGTGTCCCTTCCGTTGCTCTCTTGCCATTCTCTCCCTTTCCACCTGCAGAAGCTGCTCTGGGCCTCTTGCCACGCCGGTGACACGCCTATGATCAACTTCGACTTCCATCAGTTTGCCAAAGGCGGGAAGCTAGAGAAATTGGAGAACCTGTTGAGGCCCCAGTTGAAGCTGCACTGGGATGACCTGGACGTGTTCGCCAAGGGCGAGAATGTAAGTCCACGGTGAGTCTCCACCTGCGTCCTCCTCCTCCTCGTGCCGGGTGACCAGCTACACTTGCAGTCTCCGGGACCACAGGCTCAGGGATGTGGGGGGTCCCGGGTTCCAGCGCCTTCTTCCCCTTCCCGCCTTCAGAACATGCTTTTGCATTTTGTGAATAGATGGCAAAGCGTGGTTTTCTGGCAAAATAAATAATAAATAAAGGGACTAGGTGAAAACGTGGAGCTGTGGCGACCATAGAACTTACTGTCCGAACCGAGGAAAGCCCATGAGAGTGAAGACGGATAGCTGGCGTCAGCCCTGTTGCCCGAGGAGCCCGGGGTCTGGATTTTCCTGCCCAGAGCTGAGCAGAAAAAGGAAGCCCACTTTCCTCAAATCACAATGCAGTCGATCCTCATTCTTCACAGATTCTGTATCTGCAGATTGGTCCATTGCGAACATTTATTTGTAACCCCCAAATCATTACTTCTGGCCCCTTCAGGGTCATTCACAGACATGCTCAGAACTATGAAAAATTTGAGTCCCTGAGTACATCATGTTCCCGGCTGAGGGGGAACCAGGTGACGCTCTGCCTCTTGGTTTCAGCTCTCCGACGGCAAAGTGTCCTTTTTGTGGTCTGCGTGGTGCCACGTGGTCACATTTTTGTGCATTTTATTGGTGATTTCACTGTTTAAAATGGCGCCCAATGTAGTGCCAAGAACTGGAAGATGTTTCCAAGCCCGAGGCGGTTGTGATGTGTCTGACGGGGAAGGTACGTGTGACAGAGAAGCTTGGCGCAGCTGTGTTAGGGGGCAGTTGGCTAGGAGGTCAATGTTGGTCAATCAGTGATAATAGTAAAGTGCCTTTGAACAGGCACAGCCTTAAACAAGGTTACGTGTTGCGTAGTTGGTGAAAATGTGTGAGGGCAGAGGCCCACAGGAACCCAACCCTAGATCCCCCTGGGAGCAGTAGTTCAGCATTTGCAATCTGCTGATGGGTCAGTTTGCTAATTGTTTTTTTCTTTTTAAGATTATTTATTTGAGCAGGGGGAGGGGCAGAGGGAGGGACTCTCACGTAGAATCCCCACTGAGCGGGGAGCCCAGTGCCGGGCTCAGTCTCACTACCCTGCATGACCTGAGCCGAAATCCGAGAGTCGGACGCTTAACTGACTGAGCCACCCAGGCGCCCCTCAATTTGCTAATTGTTCATGGGAAGTTTCTAGAACATGAGTACAGCAAATAATGAGAACTGGCGTATTTTATAACGACCCAGGTGTGCGTGCCACTCCATGCTGGGGTCCCTCAGGGTGTGCCCTGGGGGTTCTGGTGGGCTGCTAGAGTAGGCGAGGGTCGGCACCAGTTTTCTCGGAGGCCTGCCGTCAAACATAGGCTGTTGTGCTACGGCCATAGCTCCTTCAGCAACTTGTAACCATTTGCATTTCTTGTTTTCCTAAGTTTTCAGAAAGGTACTTTGCGGATGAACTGCCTTGATTGCCTGGACCGAACCAACACAGTGCAGAGCTTCATCGCACTTGAGGTCTGTCCCTGCTGTGCGAGGCCCCTTGGGCCACCTGGGTCATGTCCCGTGCCTCCATCGGCAAGATGAGGGGGACATCACTGGGCTAACTTTCTAACGGTGGGAACGTGGGGCAGAGATGTGCCAGGCATCTTAGAGCGAGGTTTGCCTGGATGGCTGGCTTGCCCATAGCACTGGATGCCTTCGCCCCATTTGTAGGCACACTTTGTGGAATGCATCCCAGACATGGTCACGCAAAGGTGCCAGGGGCCACCTTGAGAAACAGTGGTTCTCTGTGATGATTACTGTGAATGTTGGATTGGGCAAGGGATGTATGAGGCTGGCTGAGATGAGGCTGGATTTGAAGTCTGGGAGGGAGACCTGAGTCTGTCTGGTGGCCTGCTGGCCCAGTGCCTGGTTGACCTCTCCTGGCTCACTGCTGGGGGGAAGGGGTGGGGTCACTGCTGTCTGCCAGGCTATCCCTGATTGTTCTCCATCCCTCTGGTGGTCAGGGCTGGGGCATGGGGGAGTAGGTCAGGAGTAAGGGGCCCAGAGGAGGGGTGGTGGCATGATGAAGACCAGGTTGGATGAAGTTGGGTGAGTTGTGTTAAGAAGCCCCATTCTTTGCTGCAAGGATTCCCCGTTCTCTGGAGGGGCACAGAGTGATCCACAGTCTGCCAAATCGGGAGCTCACTGGGAGGATGCCTGGTGACATTCACCTGAAGCAGCTGTGGATGGTAGGAGCTTCCAGGTGAGAAGACAATGACATCTGTCCCTTACTTCTCATCCAGGTCCTTCATCTGCAGCTCGAGAGCCTAGGGCTGAATTCAAAGCCCATCGCTGACCGCTTTGTGGAGTCCTTCAAAGCCATGTGGTCTCTGAATGGGCACAGCCTGAGTAAGATGTTCACGGGCAGCCGGGCCCTGGAAGGGAAGGCCAAGGTAGGGGCAGGCCACAGGGAGAGAGAGGGAGGGTCTGCATGGATCCCTCTCACGGCCTCTGGTCTGGCTCCTGGCAGGTGGGGAAGCTGAAGGACGGGGCCCGGTCCGTGTCTCGCACTATCCAGTCCAGCTTCTTTGATGGGGTGAAGCAGGAGGCCATCAAGCTGCTGCTAGTTGGGGATGTCTACACCGAGGAGTCTGCAGACAAAGGAAGGATGCTCCTGGACAACACGGCCCTGCTGGGTAAGGGGGCTCCTGCTCTGCTTGCATGGAGATGTCTAGCTGCCCTGGCAGCCGGAGGAAGTGTGTGTGTTTTGGGGGCGGGGGTTGTGCTAACCAGTCCTTCCCGCTCCTCCTCATGTAATCCCAAAAGGCAGGGAGCAGACACTCTCCTGAGCTGTTCCGTGCTTTGCCCTTCTGGCCTCTGACTTCAGCTTGACCACGGGACTTAAGCAGCCTAGAGCTGCGGTTTGTATTCTTTTTTGAGATGGTCAGTCATGTACACCCACGAAAGGAGGCTCAGGAAAGAACAAAGTTTATTCTTCAGATGTAAGGATGTACAGGGGCGCCTGGGTGGCTCAGTCAGTTAAGTGTCTGTCTCTTGACTTTGGCTCAGGTCATGATTTCAGGGTCATGAGATCGAGCCCCGCATTGGGCATCAGGCTCTATGCTCAGTGTGGAGCCTGCTTAAGATTCTCTCTCTCCCTCTCCCCCTCCCACTCTCACTCATGCTCTCTCTCTCTCTCTCAAAAAAAAAAAAAAGACGTGCAGACAAAAAGTGAAAGGATGGAAAAAGATGTTTTATGCAAATGAAAACAAAAAGAAAGCTGGTGTAGCTATACTCCTAGCAGACAAAACAAGACTTTAAAAAAAGACTAAAAATAGACAAGGGGCATTACGTAATGATAAAGGGGTCCATTAAATAAGACGACATAACATGTATAAATATATATGCACCCAACATATGAGCACTAAGATATTTAAATATTAACAGGCCTAAAAGAAGAAATTTCAGCAATACAACAACAGTCGGGGATTTTAATATCCTACTTACATCAATGGATAAATCATCCAGACAGAAAATGAATAAGGAGACATTGGCCTTAAACAGCACGTTAGACCAGATGGATTTAACAGACGTAAGCAGAACATTCCACCCCAAAGCCAACAGAATACACATTCTTCTTAAGTACACATGGAACATTCTTCAGTATGGGTCATATGTTAGGCCACAAAGCAAGTCTTAATAAATTCAAGAAGACTGAAATCATATCAAGCATCTTCTCTGACCACAATGGTATGAAACTAGTAATCAATTATAAGAAAACTGGAAAAAAACACAAAAATGTAGAGGTTAGACAATGTGCTACTGAACAACCAATGATGGGTCATCAAAGAAGCAAGGGAGAAATTAAAAAAAAAAATACCTAGAGACAAAAACAGAAATACAACACACCAAAATCCTTAGGACACAGAAAAGCACTTCTGTGAGGAAAGAGCATAGCAATCCAGGCCTACCTCAAGAAACAAGAGAAATCTCAAACAATCTAACTTTACAACCAAAGGAACTAGAAAAAGAAGAACAAATGAAGCCCAGAGTCAGTAGAAGGAAGGAAGTAATAAAGATCAGAGTGGAAAATAAATGAAACAAAGAATTAAAAACAGCAGGAAAGATCTATGAGTTGGTTCTTTGAAAAGATAAAACAAAATTGATAAAACTTTAGCTAGACCAACCAAGAAAAAGGAGAGGTCGCTAATCAGAAATGAAAGAGAAGAGATTACAGCTGATACCACAGAAATACAAAGGATCACAGGAGACTACTACACATAATCCTATGCCAACAAATCAGACAGCCTAGAAGAGATGGATAAATACCATTCTTCCAATATTGAATCATGAAGAAATACAAAATCTGGATAGACCGATTATTAGTAAGGAGATTGAATCAAAAATCAAAAACCTCCCAACCGGGGCACCTGGCTATTTCAGTTGGTAGAACACCCAACTCTTGATCTTGGGGTTGTGGGTTCGAGCCCCTTGTTGGGCATAGAGATTTTAAAAAATAAAATGGAGTGGCTGAAAATTAAAACCAAAACCAAAAAACCCCCTCCCGATACATGTAAGTCCCGTGACCTGAAAGCATCACTGATGAATTCTATCAAACATTCAAAGATTAAATATCTGTCCTTCACAACTCTTCCAAAAAAACTGAAAAGGAGGGAATACTTCCAAACTCATTTTATGAGGCCACCCTTACCCTGATATCAAAACTAGACAAGGATGCCACACACCCACACACAAAATTGTAGGCCGGTGTCACAGACGAACACTGACATAAAAATCTACATTAAAATATTGGCAAACCAAAGTCAACAACACATCAAAAGGATCGTTTACAGTGATCAGGAGGGATTTATTCCAGTGATGCAAGGATGGTTCAACATCTGCAAATCAATCAACTGATATACCACATTAACAAAATGAAGGATAAAAATCCTGTTGATCAGGGTGCCTGGGTGGCTCAGTCAGTTAAGTGTCTGCCTTTGGCTCAGATCATGATCTCAGGGTCCTGGGGTCGAGCTCTGCGTCAGGTTCCCTGCTCAGCAGGGAGTCTGCTTCTTCCTCTCCCTCTGCCCCTCCCCCCATTCATGTGCGCGCGCTCTCTCTCATCTTTTTTTAAAAAATCCTGTTGATCATCTCAATAGATACAGGAAAAGCATTTGACAAAATTCAACATCCATTCCTGATAAAAACTCTCAACAAAGTGGGTAGAGGGAATTTACCTAAACCTAATGAAGGTTATATATGACAAGCCCACAGCTAACATGACACTCAATGGTGAAAAGCTGAAAGCTTTTCATCTGAGATCAGGAACAAGACAAGGATGCCTAGTCTTGCCACTTTTTTTCAACATATATTAGAAGTCCAACCCACAGCAATTAGGCAAGAAAAAGAAAAGGCACCCAAATTAGAAAGAATAAAACTGTCGCTATTTGCAAATGATGTACTATATATAGAAAACCCAAAAGACCACCCAAAAACTGTTAGAACTACTAAATGAATTTAGTGAAGTAGCAGGATACAAAATCAACAGAAATCTGTGGTGTTTCTATACATTAATAACAAATTATCAGACTGAAAAATGAAGAAAACAATTCTATTTACAATTGCATCAAAAAGAATAACATACCTAGGAATAAATTTAGCCAAGGAGGTAGAAGATCTGTACTCTGAAAACTGTAAGACACTGATGAACAAAACTGAAAAAGAGGCAGGTAAATGGAAAGATCTTCTGTGTTAATGGTTGGAAGAATTAATATTGTTAAAATATGCGTACTACCCCAAATAATGTACAGATTCAGTGGAATCCCTATCAAAATTCCATGGCATTTCTCACAGAACTAGAACAAATAACGTTAAAATTTGTATGGAATCACAAAAGACCCCAAATAGCCAAGGCAATCTTTAGAAAAAAGAACAAAGCTGGAGGTATCCAGCTCCCTGATTGCAAACTAAACTATAAAGTTACAGTAAAACAATATAGTATTGGTGTAAAAACACACAGAACAATGGAACAAAATTGAGAGCCCAGATTTAAACCCATGCATATATGGACAGGAAATTTATGACAAAGGAGCCAAGAATATACAATAGAGAAAAGACCATCCCTTCGATAAATGGTGTTGGGAAAACTAGACAGCCACATGCGAAAAAATGAAGCTAGACCACTATCTTACACCATACACAAAAGTCAACTCAGCATGGATTAAAGACTTGAATATAAGACCTGAAATCATAAAATTCCTAGAAGAAAACACAGGTGGTAAGCTCCCCAACATTGCTCTAAGCAATGTTTTTTTGGATCTGACTTCAAAGGCAAGGGAAACAAAAGCACACATAAACAGATGGGGTTACATCAAACGGAAAAGTTTGCACGGCAAAAGAAATCACCAGAACAAAAAGGCCAGGGGCGCTTGGGTGACTCAGTCAGTTAAGCGTCCGACTCTTGGTTTCAGCTCAGGTCAAGATCTCAGGGTTGTGAGATCAAGCCCCGCATCGGGCTCCATGCCCAGCATGGAGCCCGCTTAAGATTCTCTTAAGATTCTCTCTCTGCCTCACCCTCTTCACCACCCTCAAAAAAAAAAAAAAATGCAAGGCAGCCTACTGAATGGGAGAATATTTTTGCCAATCCTAATTGGATAAGGAGTTATATCCAAAATATGTAAAGAACTCCTACAACTCACCAGCAACAACAAAAAATTCAAGCAACCTGATTTTTAAAAAATGGGCAGAGGATCAGAATAGACTTATTTACAAAGAAGACATATGGATGGTCAACTGGCACATGAGAAGATGTTCAACATCATTAATTACTGGGAATGCAAATCAAAATGAAAATAAGATCTAACCTCACACTGGTCAGAAAGACAACAAGCATTGGAGAGGGTTGGGAAGATAAGGGAGTTGTCATGCACTGTTTGTGGGAATGTAAATTGGCACAGTCAGTATGGAAAGCAGTATGGAGATTCTTCAGAAAATTAAGAATAGAACTACCATATGATCCAGCCTTCCACTTCTGTGGATTTATCTGAAGAATATAAAAATATTGATTCAAAAAGATATGCATACACTTATGTTTGTTGCAGCATTATTTACAATAACCAAGAAATGGAACAAGCCAAGTGCCCATCACTAGATGGATAAAGAGGATGTAATGTACACACACACACAGACAGGAATACTACTAGGCCACAAAAAGGAATGAAATCCTGCCTTTTGCAATGACCTGGATGGACCTTGAAGGTATTATACTAAGTGAAATAAGTTAGGTGGAGAAAGACAGATACCACGTGATTTCACTCATGTGGAATCTAAAACAAAACAAAAGCAAACTTATAGATACAAACAGATTGGTGGTTACCGGGGTGGGGGGGGGGTGGGCAAATGGGAGAAGGGGGTCAAATGTATGGTGATAGACGGTAACTAGACTTTTGGTGGTGATCATTTTGTAGGGCATACAGATGTAGAGTTGTAGTGTTTAACACCTGAGGCTTATATAATGTTATATACCAATTTTACCTCAGTTTAAAGAAATTTCTACTATACTTGCAGGTCCTAGACATGGAGGGCATGCCACACAGGGGTTTATTGGGGTTTCCGCAGGAAAGGCAGGACAGGGTAAACAGTTTAGGATTGGCTGGTTTGAGTAATTCCGGTAGGCTTTGGGTGATAGGCATGGACTTTAATTGAATGGTACCTGGTCCTGGCATGACTGAGGCAGAGGAAGATACAAAATATATATATATAGTAGCAGCTATCATTGTATTTCCTGGGGGCCCGTGCTTTCTGGCCTTGAGTGCAAGCCCACTCTTATACTCTCTTTATATTTCCAAGCCAAGAGGAGGGGGAAAGTCAAGAAGATGGTGCAGGAGACCCTGTATTATTCTACATGTCAATTTCTCGGAGTGCTAACTCTTACCGGAAACCCTTTCTCAGCCCCAGTGGCTTCTTGATCCCCATCACCAGATATCATTTGTCCCAGGGAGTCTCCCGTGAGAGTGGCCTCCTTTTGTTAGGGTCCCAGGACACTATAGAACTAGAAGAGTGAGAAGAAATGGTTGTCTCCGGGGATCAGGACACCCCCCTGCTCTCAGGGACCAAGACTGTCATGCTTCTGTCAATAGCTAGAGGTTTCTTGTTAGTTGAATACAGTTGACATAGGACATTATGTTACTTTCATGTGCACAACATAATTATTTGGTATTTGTATACATTGTGAAATGATCTAGTAAGTCTAGTTAATATCCATCCACACACATAGTTACAAAAAAGTTTTTTTTTATGAAGAGACCCTTTAAGATGACTCTCTTAGCAACTTTGAAATATGCAACACAGTATTATAAACTATGGTGGCCCCCCAGGACTTACTGATTTTATAACTGTACTTTGGACTCCCTTCACCTTTCTCAACCTCAGCCCCCTCAGCCCCCAGTCTGTTCTCTGTTATCTATGAGTTCATGGTTTTTAGGGTGGTTTTGGTTTTTTAGCTTTCACCTGTGAATGAGCTAGAGGTTTCTTTGAGGGAATTTTAATGGCATCTTACCAGCTAGATCCTATAAATGCTATAGAGCTCTCAGTGGAGAAGAAGGGGAGAACCCAACAGTTTTCCTTATAAGAATGTGTAAGCTTTATTTAAGAAATTTTTGAAAAATTAATTTGCCTGCGCTTAACATGGTTTCACAGCCCCTTTGCTGCTTCCATTCTTCCATGGGAGACTCTCACTTGGCTTCCAATAGCCAAGGTGGTTATTTGTGTCGACCTGGAAATAAGGGTCTGCGTCGCACAGCATCTTACTAAGTAGGTAGGTAGGCATGACTTCGATGTGAGGTAAGTCATTACTTTAAAAAATGGAATATATTTTAGGTATCTAGAAGATGGACCTGGTTCAGAGTAAGGATTTTTTAAAAGCTTGAGTCCAACGTAAAGCAAACGAAACCTCTCCTGAGGGATGGAGGGTGAAAAAGGCAGAGATGGGGTAAGACATTCCAAGTTTTAGATATAGGCGTTCAAAGTGTGGTATGTTGCAGTGTCCCCTTGCTTATGTCCCCACTGGATTGTGGAGGAAGTGCTGAGGCAGAGACTCCCTGTGGAGTCTGGTTGGTTAAAGCATATGGAGGAGGACATTTTGTGACAAAAGTGCCCCAGGCAAGTGTACTGGTTATGGTGGCTTTAGCCTCTTTTCGTTTGTTTGTTTTTAAGATTTTTTTTTTTTTTTTATTCATTTGAGAGCGAGAGAGACAGAGCACAAGCAGGGGGAGAGGCAGAGGGAGAGGGAGACGCAGACTCCCCGCCGAACAGGGAGCCCGATGCAGGGCTCGATCCCAGGACCCTGGGATCATGACCTGGGTCATGGATCATGACCCGAAGGCATTCGCCCAACCTACTGAGCCACCCAGGTGTCCCTGGCTTTAGCCTCTTCCCACCTTCTCGAGGAGCACACCTGGCCCCAGTGTGTGGGATCCGCAGCCCCCTCTCCAACAGGGAGCCCCCTGCATGTTTTGGGAGGAGGCACGTGCTTGGGCAGCGCAGACACACGCGCCCTCTCCTGCCTCCTCCCAGTGACGCCCAGGATCCTGAGAGCCATGGCAGAGCGCCAGTCGGAATTCACGCATTTCAAGCGGATCCGCATCGCCACAGGGACCTGGAACGTGAACGGAGGCAAGCAGTTCAGGAGCAACCTCCTTGGCACGGCCGAGCTGGCCGACTGGCTGCTCGACTCCCCCAGGCTCGCCGGCCTCGCAGGACCCCAGGGTGAGCACCGCTGCCTCGACCACCACATGCAGATTCCGCGGAGCCCTGGGTTTCGCCTCTTGCGCAGCCCGTGACTCCTGCGATTTGGTATTTGGTGTTCTCACGCCTCAGAAGGTTTAGAAAGGGCTGTGGTGTGGGTGTCCAGAGCACATCTGGACAATTACTTGACATATGTGTGGAAGGGTCGTCGGAGTCGGGGGGTCTCTCTCTTCCCGGACGGAGGTTTCACAGTTTGCGGTTTTGCTCACCAGAGCCGTCTTTGTCGTTAGGAGGAGGATGTGGCCCCTCGAGCCACGTTACTGTAGGAAGCCGGGCTGCAGCCAGGCACACATTTCATGTTGCTACTGACCCGGAGCATCTGCCCCCGCCTTCTCCCTAAACGCCTCTGTCTGCACGTTCACGTTAAGTCATCACAAAAGAATTGCGTGCCTTTTAAGAACAAAATAATTCTTAAGTTTGGCACTTCACCTTTTGTCTTACATCATGCAAGGAAATGCAGAAAGGGCCTCACGGTGCAGGATTTGAAGCATAAATGATTTTCCGCTGTCAGCGTTACCGTGGGGCCGGCTTTTCCCAGCTCCCTTGGATCCTGCAAGAGAGCCCGCCTCGGTTCTCTGCCGAGGGATGGGCAGGAGCCGCACCCAGAGCCCGTCCCTCACTGTCACGGGCAGTCTGCACTCCCACCCCTGCTGCCGTGAGGCCCAGGCTGGCTTGAGTCCACAGGCCAGGGTTCCTGGGATTCTTGAGTTGGTGGTGACCGTTCACAGTGCCCCCCCTCCCCCTGGGGCAGGCCCTGTACATGCCGAGAACATGAGAGCAGCCCCAGCTGAGGGAGCTTCCCTCCCCCTTCTCGGGAAAATGGCTCTTCATGTGCCTGCAGGGATGGGTGCGTGGTGACAGCAAGCTGCCTCTTCCTCTGCAGGGGATTTTATTGGGATGGCGGGCTCAGCAGTGCCCCCACTAGAACTCACCAGGTTCGGGAGGGGGGAGGGGTTGTGGGGACTCTTGCCAGCAGAGCAGACAAATGGGTATTTTTTTCCCTTAAACAAAGAAGAAAAACTTCAAGCCAGTTAAGCTTGCGGTTCCAGGTTGCCCTGTGAGGCCAACAGGAAAGGAAGTGGACGGCCTGGCCTCTCCCAGTGGAGTCAGGGAGGGCGGGGTCTCCCTTTCTGCAGCGCTGGGAACCACAGCCTGGCTCGGCTCGGGGGCTGAGTGGCAGAAGGGGGGGCGGTGCCCCGGAGAGATGCGGCCAGTGGCTGCAGGGGTCATATTAACCCCTCTGCTTCCTTAAAGGGGACACAGGATGGATGAGCAACACCTCACCTTGCTGTGTTCCCCATAAAACACATTTCTATAGGAGACCTCTGCGGTCCCCGAGCTGGGCAGGGTTTTCCCTCCTCCAGTCACCAGGATGGCAGTCCCCTGGGACAGGACCCAGGACCACATCAGTCTGTCATTAACCGGGCAAGGCTGGGCCCACACTGTGCGAAGTATGGAGTTGGCAAGCGTGAGACGTGCCTTTGTGTCTGATGCATATGTTGGTGATGCTTATGATGTGCTGGGGAGGAAGAGGAACCCACAGGGCAGTGCCCTTACTACCTGCCAAGTGGGGCGGGTATGGATGCTTCACGACGTCCTTGTGAGATGGCGGTTACCGTCCCTTCCGCAGACAAAGGAACAGAGGTGTGGAGAGGTCACTAACGTGTCCCAGGAGGGAGACCGGGAAAGGCCATGGGCACCGGGGGAGGTGAGGGAAGGGGGGGATCAGCATGGAGCTTCACTGAGTCATCTGGACGAGTGCACCGAGCAGTGGTACACCTGGGCTCAAATGGGAACACGTGGCACCCCGCGCGTCCACGAACGCAGACCTTGTGCTGTCTGATTTCCCTCAACTCCCGCCTTTCCCCCTAGATGAGGACAGCCCAGCTGACATATTTGCCGTGGGGTTTGAAGAGATGGTGGAGCTGAGCGCAGGGAATATCGTCAACGCCAGGTGAGAATCCGGGCACGAGGGGTGCAGGATTGCACCCTGAAACTCACCCGAGGTTTTCCTGAGCCAGGCGCCTGGCTAGGAGCGGGACACTGGGTCCATCCTGCTTCTGCATCCACTGCCCTGTGACCCTCGGGGTGTAGGAACTCCTGATTGCACTCCTACCCTCCCCTCCCCCACACACAGATGTGCACCTCCAGTTCCTCTTTCTTTGCAAATTAAGGAAATCGCAGGAAGGGCGGGTTACTACTATATATTCTCGGCCATGTGTGGAGGCTGAGTCATGCTGTGAGCTGGCGTGTGCACACCTGGAGGGTCGGGGCTGAGGGCCGGCCTGGGAGCGTGCTGATTCACCTTTACCGGGGAAGGTGAGAAGCATAAGTTCGGGGAGAAGGTGCTTCTCCTCTCTGTACAGATACAAAGAAAACCACTGCATTAACGTTTTGTTTAGGGTCAACTGGACCTTTTCTTTCCTAGTTTAATTTCAAGGAACTTTCTGAACAAATAATAAAACCTGATCTCTGCAGCTCTTATGAGCAAGGTGCTGTGTTGGGTTTTAGGTGGCAGGGGTGGGGTGAGGTATGTGCAATGATGTGTATGACACAACCAGAAATACACGGGTTGTCCACTGCAGGAATGAAGGCATGGCACTAACATGGGAGTGGGGACAGTGTGACACTAGTTCTGTAGAAAGAATAAGGGCGGGAGGAGTTTGTCGGTGGGAGAGCCCATGTCCAGCAGACTGTAAAGTGTCATTTGTTTCTCGTCTTTTCCAGTACCACCAACAGGAAGATGTGGGGTGAGCAGCTCCAGAAAGCCATCTCACGCTCTCATAGGTACATTCTCTTGACTTCGGCACAGCTGGTGGGCGTCTGTCTGTATATCTTTGTACGTCCATACCATGTCCCGTTCATCAGGTAAGAACATTTAGTTTATGAACATCTGGGGGGCGTGGGGGCGTTCGTCTTGGTGTTTTGTTCAGACTTCTTCTTCCTCCTCCCCTCCTGCAACAGGAATCAGGACTTGCCATTATTCTAGATAAATGTAGCAAACCCCCAAGGACAAAGCAGGCTGAATAGAATATTGTCTGGTGATTAAAAAGCCACAGTGGGAACCTTGCGGGCCAGGAAGCTGAACTCTTTCAGAAGGAGTGATTGTTGTCCTCCCAAGGTCAGTTTTGTGCAAGGAAAGGGATTCCTTACTGAAGTTTTAGACAGGAAACCTCTGACCAAGAGCTGAGTAACTCATCAGGAAATGCCAATTCTTTTGTCTCTTTTTAAAAGAGTTCTAAATAAGATGGGTGGGCAGAAAGTCTCTACTGCTGTCACCCCATTGTAATGCCCCTAAAGTGACCACTTTGTGTATGTCAGATAGGGAACACTCAGCAAACGGGTGTCCTCATAGGAAAGAGTGTGCGTGTGCGTGTGTGTGCGTGTATGTGTGTGCATACATGTGTCTGCATGCATGTGTGTTTTAAGGTTTGGGAAGAACTCACCTTTTCCTTCAATGACTCATAACTTCCCACTGCTACCTGGTCTCACTCATATCGATAGAATTTCCTCCCATGCCAGGCTGAACTTTTCCCCCTCCTGGTTGAACACCTCTGAATATTTAGAGGACCAGAGGCATGCTGGGGGCAGCGCTGGGAGAGTATGACTATGCTCCGTGCTCATCATCCTCTTCTTTGACTTTGGGAAAATCTTTAAGTCCGCGTCCCCCCCGAGTGTGTGTTCCGGCAGTTGGGCAGTGTCCAAAGTGCGGGGCTGAGAGTCAGGAAAGGTAAGGTCAGGCTAAAGGCTAGAGATGAACCATGACAGAGAGGGCGATGCTGGGGAGCTCCAGATTGCCCAGAGGCCGCCCAGGCTCCCCGGCCTCTCCTCCAGCCTTAGCTGGCTTAGCTCTTGTGCCTCTTGGCCAGTTATCCCCTCACCTTGTCTGCCCGCTGACAGTCCCAGGGAGCAGGTGTCTGCGTGGAAAACACCTGCGCAGCCCGGCACAGATAACTGGGCAGCTACCTGATGGCACCTCCTGCATGTTGCAGGAAAGTGAGGGGTGGGGCAGGGGACAGTGAAGTCCAAGCTGTGAGCTGTGTCACGGGCGACAAGGAGGACGAGGACTTGGGAGCGGAAAGCCGGGGTGGAGGTGAAAGCTTCCCGGGTGCCTTTGTGAGCGCAGGGCACTTGAGAGTTGGGGCCGTGGAGACGGTTCTCCGGGCCCGCCACAGGGAGAGGAGAGAGGTCAGGAGTGACGCCGGGGCAGTCACTGGGTGGCCTGGCTGCCCAAGAGGTGACTGAACAGCCCAGGTCTTGGCCGCCGCAAAGCTTGTTCGCGCTTTTCTGTCCTGGCCGCTGAGGAGCCGCCGCGTGTGCCCCTTCTGTGTTGCAGGGACGTGGCCATGGACACGGTGAAGACAGGCATGGGGGGAAAGGCGGGGAACAAAGGGGCCGTGGGCATCCGCTTTCAGTTCCACAGCACCAGCTTCTGCTTCGTGTGCAGCCACCTGACGGCCGGGCAGTCCCAGGTGAAGGAGAGGAACGAAGACTACAGGGAGATCACCCAGAAGCTGAGTTTCCCGATGGTGAGAGCACCGTGGCATGGGTGGACAGTGGCCTGGAATGTGACCGGGCGCGCGTTCTAGCTCCCTGCTCAGTGCGGCCCCGTACATGGTTTTCTGAGCTGCTGATAGAGGCCAGGCATCAGGGGTGCGGCTACGGGAGGGTCCCTGCCCCTGCGCCCTGGGGGAGGGGAAGTGACTTGGGCTGGGACAGTAGAGCTCAGTCCAGGGGATGTCCCTGGAGTGTTCTGTGCCCCGTCTCTATTACACATTTCCCGAATGTCCTTATGCACCCTACATTTCCTTTGCATTTGTGTGCACACTTTGTCCAAGTTGGTGAAGAACATCCGAATCCAAACGGTACGAGACTTGGTTTTCTTAAGATTCATGGTCTTCAGACCTACATTCTGTTGCAGCTCAGATAAGAAGGCCCGTTTTTTTTTTGAAATCTGTGTATTCATGTTGGAGGAGCCCTGGATCCTCCCACCTGGTCTCCCAGTTGCCGATAGCGTGCACCATGCTGCCCTCTAGTGACGTCAGGGGTTTCCACCCCAAAGCCCGCGGATGGCCTTTCCAGACTCAGATTCAGATGTTCCCCTTCCTGTGCAGAGATGATGCCCGCACACCTTCAGCCTGGTGCAGACCCCCTGTCTCCCTGCAGTGAGGGGAGGCCAGCTCTTTCCGTCACACGTTCTGCCTATATCTGTGACACAGCTGGCTGGGTCGTGGAGCTCCTCCGTGTGAGCCCAGATAGATCGCATAAAGCTGACATCCTGTGTACTGGGCTGCACAAGTACTCAAGGCGAAAACTCTTTCATTTTCACTAATAAGTGCTGTAATCTCTGCTATAGTTTCTATTTCTTGGATTAAAGAAGAAACAGACAGGGTTGGGAAATTTACAATGTGCAGTCTTCTGGGACTACAGAGGACATGATGCATGTTTTCTTTGTGTGTCCATTTAGTTAAAAAAAAAAAAAAGTCCAGCCCTTCTCACTTAGAGTGCTATTTTGAAATAGTAAACTTTGGACACATTCAAAATATTCAAAGGGCTTATAATGGAGCTTTTTTTTTTTCAACAACAGAAATATCGAGGATACCTATAAGTTAATACTCTATACCTCTGCTGCCCAGTAGGCAAGCCACAAGCAGGTATTTAAATTTAAATTCATTAAAATTAAGTGAAATACAAAGTTCCTTGGTTACACTGGCCATGTTTCTTGGCGGCCACGCTGCGGCTGCTTGTGGCTGGTGGCTCCTGTTTTGGACAGTGTGGGTGGAGAATGTTTCCATCACTGTAGAACGCTCTGTTGGGCAGCAGGGCTCTACACACTCATTGATTTGGTTGTGATCATGTTAATCTTCTGTCCAGACTACTGTCGTGGGTTGCAGGGAGTGGAAATGCCACATGAGGATAATAGAAACAGGCTTTGGAGTTAGGCAGATCTGAGTCCAAAGTTGCCTTTGTTACACATCAGTGGTGTAATAACTTTAGCAAGCTCTTTTGAACTTTTTATCTGAAGGATAAAAAGGAGATAATGGAGAGCCGACAGTACATGCTTCCCAGGGCTGCTGTGAGGGCAGTGTGCCCCCAGGACAGAGCCCAGCACAGGTAGATGGGGTGGGGGTTATGTTGTGGCCACTGTCATTGGCATGTGATTCATGGCTGGGAAGGAGGGGCGAGGATCCCGCGCTCTCCAGGGCTGCGCTGGGGGACCACGGGCTCAGGGTGGGCTAGACAGGGCAGGGGAGAAAAGAATGGGACGGAGGGTCACAGGATGGAAATGGGTAAAATCCACGACATTTTACAAAGTTGCCCATTCCGAGCATTTTTATGTTCTTAAGCCTGATCCTCATAACACTGAATGTTTGGGCAACTCATCTTTGGATATAGATGTAATGAAAGCAGGAGCACAGCCCAATCTCAGAGCTGGGGCGGGCGCAGTGAAGATGGGCAGCCATGCTTCCCAGTTAGAGATGAGCTTTCTCCAAACCACTCAAAAACACTGTCATTTAAAATGAAGGAAGGGGCGCTTGGGTGGCTCAGTCGTTAAGCGTCTGCCTTCAGCTCAGGTCATGATCCCCGGGTCCTGGGATCGAGCCCCGCATCGGGCTCCCTCCTCAGCGGGGAGCCTGCTTCTCCCTCTCCCACTCCCCCTGCTTGTGTTCCCTCTCTCGCTGTGTCTCTCTCTGTCAAATAAATAAATAAAATCTTTAAAAAAAAAATTAAATAAAATGAAGGAAGCCACGTAAAAGCTCCTCAGTAGGTGTATGTGATTAAGGAAAGATGAGATGGTCCATGGGAAGTCTTTTGTTATGTAATATTTTAAGAAAAAACACATCTGTATCATCTGCCTGGTGAGTTTCCCTCCCCCTCCCCCACCTCCTTTGCAAATGGGCCGAAATGACTGTGATCTTCTTTAACAGGGAAGGAACATTTTTTCTCACGATTACGTGTTTTGGTGCGGCGATTTCAACTACCGCATCGATCTCACTTATGAGGAAGTCTTCTATTTTGTCAAACGCCAAGACTGGAAGAAACTTCTGGAATTTGATCAGCTGCAGCTACAGAAATCAAGTGGGAAAGTAAGTTGGGCTCTTAAGTCAGCAGCACACTCCGCTGGAGTCAGAGCTGCTTGGAAGGGCCGCGTGTCCGCATCAAGCGCAGCCCTGTGGGAGGCTGCTGAATGCTGACCACCCCGCCCTGTACTCACAGGCCAGCCGTGAAGGGCCTGCCGCACTTATATGTACTCAGCCACCGAGTGACACTCCAAGTACTCTGTTTTCGGGAGATCTCTGTTTCTCAATGGTGAGCACACACACATTAGAACAATATTTGATATACTTTATATATCAACTGCTGTGGATAATCCTCCAGACCATCCTACAAATTAGGTATTATACCCATTTTATAGACAAGAAAACAGAGGCCCAGGTCAAATGAGTCCAAGGTCGGGCGCCTGGGTGGCTCAGATAGTTAAGCGTCTGCCTTCGGCTCAGGTCATGATCCCAGGGTCCTGGGATCGAGTCCCGCATCGGGCTCCCTGCTCCTTGGGAGCCTGCTTCTCCCTCTGCCTCTCCCTCTCTGTCTCTCATGAATAAATAAATAAAATCTTTAAAAAAAAAAAAAAATGAGTCCAAGGTCACACAGTCAGTACACAGAGCCATGATGCAGTCCACAACTGTCAAACTACAGAGTTCATGTTTATCCCCTACATGACCCATGTGCAGTTTTTTTTTTTTTTAAAGATTTATTGATTTATTTTAGAGAGATAGAGCATGAGTGGGAGGAGGGGCAGAGGGAGAGGGAGAAAATCTCAAGCAGACTTATGATACAGGGCTCCATCCCATGACCCCGAGATCATGACCTGAGCCAAAATCAAGAGTCAGATGCTCAACTGACTGAGCCACCCAGGCGCCCCCCCCATATGCAGTTTTTTAGTGACTCCTTAGGCTATGATGTGATAGGAAAGATTCAAGTATGGGGTCTGTCCTCAGTTCTTCAGGGGCACCCTGGCCAGCTTCCAGATGACCCAAAGTGTATCTTCTCCACCTAATACCGTCTGCTCATTTTGGTGCCTGTTAGCTTTGTAGCAGGTGGGGCTCAGATGACAGAAGCACAGCCCCGCTCCATTTACCTTTTGAAAATAATACAGCTGGTCCAGTGTGCAGAGCTGGGGGAGGTAAGGTCTTTCCTACAGTGAGATTCAGACATTCCTCGAGGTTTTCTGTTCACTCCCCGCTCAGCCCTGCCCCGGATTGCCAAAGGGTGTCCAGATGGAAAAGTAACCACACCATACCTCTCTAGAACAGGTTTTTCTTCCTTCCTCCTACCAGTATTGTCCACACCCTTCCACAGATGCACAGAGAGAAGTAGTGAGGTCTGTTCCAGGGTCTTCTCACGGCCCTGGGGCTGGATCCAGAGCTAAACAGAAACAGAATTTAGTTTCAGTTCTGTGCTTCTATTTACCCAACTCATTTAGTTAGCAGATATCAACGAAGGCCTTGTTAGGTACGGCCGGGCATTGCTCCAGGTCTGGCACTGAGCGGATGGGCACCTGGGATCCTCACCGCGAGGCGATACATTGGATACCCGAGGTGGGTGGGAGATCCTGGGGTGGTGTGTAAGTCAGTGGAATGAATAATCATCACTCTCTTGCTAACAAAATAGCACACACGTGTTCAGTTTTATTTTTTAATTTTTTTTTTAAGATTTTATTTATTTATTCATAAGAGACAGAGAGGCAGAGGGAGAAGCAGGCTCCCCACTGAGCAGGGAGCCCGATGCAAGACTCGATCCCAGGACCCGGGGATCATGACCTGAGCCGAAGGCAGACGCTTAACCATCTGAGCCACCCAGGCACCCCACGTGTTCAGTTTTAAACATACTTACAACTATAATGTAGATTCTGTGTCTTTTTAGGAAGAGAGCACTCTGGAATGGGCTTTTCTGTTTTTTGTTTTTGCGTACGCTGTACAGAATCTAGGAGAGCTAAGGTGGTCTTGGTCTTTTCTCCCAATAGATTTTTAAAGACTTTCATGAAGGCGCCATTAATTTTGGACCTACCTACAAATATGACGTTGGCTCGGCCGCCTACGACACAAGTGACAAATGCCGCACCCCTGCCTGGACAGACAGGGTCCTGTGGTGGAGGAAGAGGCACTCTTTTGACAGGACAGGTGCGTGAGATGTGTGCGCACTCAGAGCTGGTGGTGGGTGAACGATCAATAGCATAGAAGGCAAGTCAGTCACGTTTATTCAGCACAGCGCCCTTTGCTACATAAATAGCATCTCTCTTGATAACCCCAAACTACAGGAAAGCCATTCCAGTTGGTAGCCCCTAAGCTTTGGAAGTTGTGCTTTGGGGAGCCCCCCGGCTCTCCCTGCCCCCACATCACGGCTGTCCCTCCCACACACACACACACACCACGCCGTCTGCCTTCTGAGTGGACAGCAAGGAGAGAAGCCGCGCTCTTCCTCTCCAGTGACTCACCCTCTCACACACATGCACTTTATCCCGCACATTTCGTTCCACCAAGCGCTGACCTGCTTAAAGCTCCAATTACACATCGAGCGTGAGCCAGACACAGGAAAGAAGAGTTTTTTCTCAATTCATTGCCAAGTACGTTTTGAATTGTTAAGTGATGGCCAACTCGCAAGGCAGTTGATTTAGAGCACCTAGAGGTAAAACAGCTCTGCTTTTCTGGCAAGATGGATGCAGAGATTTCAAAGCAGGGGATCCCGTCGTTCAGATCAGTCTTTGGACATCTGTGGTCATCCCTGGGGCACCAAGAGGCAGGCATACCGTGATGTCCTTAGCCGCGGCTTCACCTACATAGGGGGCTGCAGACTTCCTGTGTTCCAGTGGGCCCTGGGATGGGAACCCCAACAGCTACGTCTGCAGTCCCACTCAGCTTGTCCACTGGGGAGGAAGTAGGCAGCACTGGGTCCTCTACATAGATTATCTACCCTAGACCCCCCAGGCCAGCTCAGCAGGGTTTCTGGCCCAGCAGGTTAGAGCAGACGAGTCTGAGACAGGTGTGTCTGTGCGGTAGATCCCTGGTGTAGGCTTCCTCAGTCGGCATTCCCATATGTTGATACTGTTTTCTGTTGTATGTGGGTCTCTTGATTGGAATCCCTGTGAGTAGCTGGAGAACTCAACCTTCTAGACAACGATGTAGATGCTGATACCACCGTCAGACATTCCTGGTCTCCTGGTGCCCTCAAGTATTACGGCCGAGCCGAACTACAAGCGTCTGATCACAGGTACGGTCCTTGCCGCCTCGGGCACGTTCTCCTGGGCTGCGGAAAGCGACACCTGCTTATCCCCACAGAGAACGGACATGCGGTCCCCCCCGGGATGCGTGTGTGCACGCGTGTGAAATACAGTAAAGAGCAAAGAGTAGTGTGACCAATAGCTTTGTCCCCACCACCAAGAATGAATCCGTGTTGGTATTGTAATTGCTCGTATCATAAATGACCTCATTTATGAAAATTGCAAAGATGCAGCCTGTAGTATTTTGCAGTTTAAATTCCTACAAATGATGTCATTGTGCACCTTGCTTTTTTGTCACTTAATGTCTTTGAGATACAATCACGTCGGCATTACAGACCTGGCTTATTGCCTTATAATTGCTGTCCAGTATTCCACTAAGTGTATCGATGGAATTTACCCATTTACCTACTGGTGACATTTTTTTCTAATATTTTATCATTACAAATGTGAAATGGTTTTTAAGTGTTGGATTCTGAGTTCTTAAATGCTCTGAGCTGTTGGTTTGGCCTGGCGTGTCTTGCATTATGGATGGAACACAGCAGCAGGGTCGGTCAGGTCGATGTGCGCTGGGACCAGCCGCAGAGGGAGATTAGTCTCGTGGAACATCTTTAAAGAGACAGAGGGTGGCATTTGAGGGTGTGAATAGGAAGGGTTTGATCTTCCCATGGCTGCTACCAAAACTAGCCTGTCAGTTTCAACTTCTACAAGGAAGGAAATTAGGAGAGAGAGTTGGTGGTCAAGAGCCGGTCAGCCAGTAGGTCTAAATCTTTAGATATTCTAAATTCTTAGGAAACCTGTTGTGGCAAATCCACACCTAGAAATGAACCTCGGGAAATCTCCAGTTATAGGACTTTCTATAGCAAAGTATCAGTTTGCTAGTTCAGTGAGTGTCTTTAGAAGCAATTCATTTAACCTCTATTCACTGAAGGGCCTTGTATACCAGGCCCTGTCCCTGGCACAGTGAACAAAAGAGACAAGACCATATTCTCATGGAATTGTCTAATGAGGACAGACAGACAGTAAACAAATGTGAAAGGAAAAATAGTAGTGACAAGACTCAGACAAAGGGTTGGTGCTCTTTTATACCCAGTGTTCAAGGAAGGCCTTTCGGATATGATGACCGTGGAGCCCCAGACCTGAAAGAAGTGAGAGTGTGAGCCATAGGGGTGACAGGGGGAGAGCATTCCAGGGCAAGGCAGTGAACCTTCAGGGATCCAGAGAATCGAGGTGGAGTGGAAAGAGTAGAGGAGGTCATAGGAGCTGGGCAAGCAGTGCAGGCCATGTGGAACCCCGCGGGCCGCAAGAACGTTGGGTTTGACTCGGGCTGAGGAGTGGCATTATCTGACGAGGTGTTGACAGAATCAGCCCAAGGGAGTCCAGTGGGGCCAGGGAAGAAGCTAGTGCAGTAAGCAAGGGCAGTGCCAGCCTTGGACCAGATGGTCACGGGTCCCCATGGCGAGAAGCAGTTGGGTTCTTGATAGATTTTGAAAGTGGAGCCCACAGAATTGCCTGACAGATTGGATGGGGTTTTGGGGGGGAGCAGATTTGAGGAGGACCCCAGAGTTTGGCCTGAGCAGCCGGAAGGACGGAGTAGCCTTCGCTCTACTGGGATGCTGGGAGCTGCAGATCTGGACATACTGGTTTGAGGTGTGTCTTAGACATTTGTGGATTTTTCCGATTACACAAGCAGAGCCCCTCAGTTATTGACAGTTAGGGGAGACCTACGTCCACAAACAAACCCTCCGTAGTTCCACCCTCTGAGACAGTGTCTGCAGTGGTCTGTTAGGTGTCTTCTGCATTTTCCGTGTGCGTTAGAAGACTTTACACCAAAATGTTAACCTGTGTGCGGTGTGTGCTCGTGTGCAGACGCCCTTTCACGTACAGGTATGCGTGTGAGGACATTAGGATTATATTTTGCAGACTTATCATTTTGCTTTACTACATTCATATTTTTTTTTTAAAGATTTTATTTATTTATTTGAGAGAGAGAATGAGAGAGAGCACATGAGAGGGGGGAGGGTCAGAGGGAAGAGCAGAC